GAGAAATATGCGGTTCTGTTAACTTACTTCTCAATCTGACACACCTTTTTCTCTTCTAGTCTTTACCTGCTGCCTCGATAAGTTTGATGTCGGTTACAACTGCCCGACATGGGATGTGTAGAATGATCCGCTTATCAGCTTTTCGAGGTAACGTTGCCAGTGGAAATGCATTGTCTTGCAGGGGGATTTGTATTCAGCATCCTCAAAAACCCATGTATGAATTTTTTCAGATTTTTTATGCTTTTCCCATTATTTGACCTTTAAATGACCTTGAAAGGGACCTCCTGAAGGTCATCCGACCTCGAATTTGGATTCAGCATCCTCAAAAACCCATGTATGAATTTTTTCAGATTTTTTACCCTTTTCCCACTATTTGACCTTCAAATGACCTCTACAATGAGCCAACCTTGAACGGTCGGTGGATTTGAAACCGGGGTCGGTTTATTCCCATCAGATCGATTTAAGGTCATTTGAAGGTCATTCGAAGGTCATTTAAAGATCATTTAAAGGTCAAATCACGAAAAAAAGGTTTAAAAATCTGAAACTATCCCTATATAGATTTTCGAGGATGGTAAATTCAAATCTATAGTTACCACCTCTACGATCTTACCTTCAAGGTCATTTGTAGGTTAAACTTAAAAAATTAAATATAAGAATGCAAAAAATATGACACTTATATTTGAGAGTCGCTGAATTTGAATCAAAGTTCATTTTGACTATACTGGGTTATTTTAAGCTCATTTCAAGATCAAGTTAATGAAAAAAGGGCAAAAATAGATAAAGTATTGTTAATTTTGCATGCCTTTTTACCTTTTTCTTTTGTAACGCACCTTTCTCTCTTCAAACGATTGGCGTAAAGGTTGCCGTTTCCGTTTAGTTCCTCTATGTTGGCCCCCCTCATATCAGCAGGACAGCAATCTCGATTTACAAAGTACCCATGTTTCAAGTACTTACTGGACAGCAGAGATCGTAAAGAACATTACATTGACCACAAGTGGTCTGAGAGAAATTCTTTAAGATCTGGACATCATAATGTTATTAACAGTCCGTTAGTAGACCCTAAAAAGTTTTACCACTTCCTTTCTATGTTAAATTGGGCAATATAAAACAATTTGTAAAAGCTTTGAGTGAGAGCGTTGAATGCTACAAATATTTAGGATCTAAATTTTCCTATAAATCTGATGTAAAATTAAGAGAAGGAAGGAATATTTGATGGACCAGAAATAAGAAAATGGCTGAAAGATGACGATTTTCCAACTAAGATGACTGAGATTCAGAAAGCTGCATCGGTTAGCTTCAAAAAAGTTGTGGAAAATTTTCTAGGTAATCGTAGAAGCGACGTTTACAAAATTTTAATATCAACAAAGATAAACAATTTCGGTGAAATGGAATGTAATATGCCTTACTAGCTGCATTTATTGCATAACCATTCAGAGGAGTTCCCTGAAAAACTGTGGTGATTTTAGCTGATGATGATGATGAATGATGGCTGATTACTAATAGATGTTGAAGACAGAGAGAGCCAACATAGAGGAACTAAACGGAAACGGCAACCTTTACACCGATCGTTTGAAGAAAGAAAGGTGCGTTACAAAAGAAAAAGGTAAAAAGGCATGCTAAATTACTTACTTCATCAATTTTTGCCCTCTTTTCATCAACTTGATCTTGAACTGAGCATAAAATAAAGCAATATAGTCAAAATGAACTTTGATTCAAAACATAAATGTGATATTTTTTGCATTCTTATATTTAATTCTTTAAGTTTGACCTATCTTAATATCTCTCCTCTCTGTGCTCTCAAAAGCCGTTGAGCGGATCATCCAGGCTCAACTGTCTGAATACCTCCTCAGAATGGCTTGATAGATCCGGAACAACATGGTTTTAGACCTGGCCACTCCACCACGACTGCACTGCTGGAGATCACTGAGCGAGCCCGGCGCGTCATAGACTGCAGAGAAGTATCTGTTTTGGTGTCGTTCGACTTGCGATTCGTTTGCGTTTCGACGCTGCTTTTTTCAGTCTTCATCGCCGACCTCCCGACCTGCCTACTCACCTCTCAGCACATAATCTACGCGGATGATACTCAGATCATCTTGCATGGACTGCCGGCTAATTTTGGTGAACTCCTGCGAGGCGTCACTAGAGATGCAAATATGGTCTGTGAGTGGGCCCCGAACTGACTGACGTGCAACGCCGCCAAAACAAAGGTCATGCTTATTGGAAGCTTGAGCTTCGTGACCTCGTTGAGACCGGCGTTGCCCGCAGGACTGAATATTGGTGGCGAAATTGTGCCTTTCTCGGAAGAGATTAAGACCCTGGGTGTTTTCTTGGCAGAAAAGTTTAACTGGGATCGACAAGCGCGTTTCTACAAGCACGCCCTCACTCGCAAAATGCGTCTGATGCTGGTATGCACTCTGGTGACACCTCACCTGGACTACCCAGCACCACTGTTGACTGACCTGACAAAGGAGCAGTCTCTAGCTCTTCAGCGCTTGCAGAACCCTTGTATGCATTTCATGTATGGCACGATACCCAGGACGGCTCATGTCACCCCCTATCGACTAGCTCTGGGATGGCTCTCGGCTGGGGGAAGCAGAGAGGTCATCAACTGCTCCCTAGCATCTCGCATCATCAGAGATGCTTCGTCGGGCTATCTCAGAAAAGGCTTTCGAAACATCGGAGTACCCACTGAGATTGAGGAAGTCAGGCAGTCCGCGCGACGCCGCCTCCCAGAGCTCTACTACAAGCCACCTCGCACCGCATCATTAGATCACTCATTTGCATCTTTATCTGCCATAGCAATCAATAAACTCCCTTTCATCACGGACATCCTCTCCCCACCTCCTCGCTTCAAGTCACTTCACACCTCCTTCCTTATGCAGCACGAGAAGGCGGAGTGGTTGTAGCGATGCAGGACGGAGGGCCTTGCCCCTGTCCCGCCTGAACTGACTCAAGTGTTGAATTTAAATCTAAGCTCGGCATAACCAAAATTGCGCGATGGAACTTCGATCTATATTTGTTAAATATAAAGATGTTCACTCTTCACTATAAGTCGAGGCGTAGAATGGTGTTGTACATTGTGTTCCACAGACCGAGCCTTTGCGGCCCTGCGCGTACTCGTGTACTCTGTCTTGAAGTTACAGTTGAACCCCTGTATTCACGGGGTTTGGTTCCAAAAAAAAACCGCGAATACCGACGCATTGTTCTTATGGAAAAAAGAGGTTCAGTTCCTTACCCAACTAAAATGTCGATGTAAAAAACGTAAAATAACATTTATCTAGAAAAAATTTAGTCATAATTTATATTTGTTTATATTAGAGAAAGATATTCAGTCAAAATTTTTTGATCTGCACTGCGCATCAAATTTTTGTACAAATTTTAGTTACACTGTCTTGCATGGGTTACCGACTTCAAATCTTTTGGACAACTCATCCTGTCAACTCAACTTCGACAATTCATCTGTTGGACAAATCATCTTACGACATTTCATCTTCGCGACATATCACCCTGGAAAAAAAATTTGTATTTTTTATTTGCACAAAACTGTACACACAGATAGACACACGATACGAAACTGATCGCCTACAATAGCGAGTCAACAAGTGTGTACGCATAGACGGAGCAGATTAACAATACAATTAAATAGTGGGGCGAGCTGAAAACACGACTACACATATATACATACACGCAAAAATAAAATAAATAGCGAAAAATGATGAAGATGAATAGTCGCCGGGATGAATTGTCCAAGTTGAATTGTCGAAGTTGAGTTGTCAAAAGATGATTTGTCCGAAGATGAGTTGTCCGGCTCCTGTCTTGCATAAATTGAAGACTGCGAGTAACGATTGGATAATTTATGGCTTGTTCAATAAGTTGTTCTTAGTCAGCCAAAATTTTTCCACTAATTTTGGCCGTAAGTACAAGTTATTATTCTTTATCGCTACTATCATTTCGTTAGGTTCTGAATTCAATTGCACCATATTCTTAATTTCATTGACACTAAGAACTTATCTAGCATTTTTCCGAAGGCTTCCCCAAAAATTTGGCATTCTCACGAATTTTTCTCCCGTTGTCGCGGATTAATCTGGTCGTAGACTTCCTCGGAACCCTCAAATGGCGGCCTGTTTGTTGGAATTGGCGAGACAGGTGTGGGGTAGGTGAAGGTTTTTATATTGCTCACTTACTATAGCGACGTCTATTTTGTGTTCTCGAAAGGATTGATTCAGTAGATCTTGAATGCAGGACGTTCTATTATTATCACAAGGCGAACGACGTCAAAAAAAGTTTTTTCTTTTCACCATAATGTTCTTACTACATTTGATTGACTAGAAAATACTCTCACCCATATGTACATTAACTTGTGCATACTTTTTGTTAATTCTGCTTTGCTTCGGTGGAAGAGCGTACCCTTAAGTACTGACGAAAAATAATTTAATCAAGCTTAAACGCTAACTGAAGAGAAACGTTTGATATTAGATATGGCTTGATAGTCACCTTCTCTGCTGTGCAGAGCGACCACTGAGGTCGCTAAACGCTAACGCTAAACTCGAGCAGAGAAGGAAATCATGCGGAGAGCTGGCCACGCGCATCTATCGTTCATTCTATATTCACACGCCAAGAAAAAAGCTACCTCTAGATAAGTCTCGCCGTTTCAAAGTTTTCTTATTACTAAATTCATTTACATTGCATTCCATATTAATATAAAAGCTAGATCATTGGTTATATAGTTGGATTGTAAATTTAGATTTGCATAATTTTATAATTAAAATAAAATGTTTTGTGACTACAGAAAAAAGTGGTAAAGTGAAATCCCGATCGTTCTTTTATTTCTAAACCTGTCAATCTTTCCAGTTGCAACAGGCATATTAAAAATAATAACATTTGAAATTTACAAAAAAGTATGCATTTGTTCGAAATTCGTCCTGGATTATAAAAATATTAAACAAGCTGATGACTAGTTTTTTATTTTATGACTATAAGTATAAAATTAAAATACTTACCCATAAGATTAACGTTCATCCCAATTTCTTCCAGATCCTTTGAATTTTTCGGAAAGTTATTACCTTTACAATTTGATTCAAGGTCTATAAATTTCGGTGGTATCGATAGATGCTTAGAAGAATCCACATCATAAAAGTTCGAATGAACACTCGAATTAATGGTTGTTACAGAGGAATAGTCTTCCATATCAATATCATCGATAATCTGTCCGTTATTAAGTGATGAATTAGATCCGTTAAATATTGTATTATTACTTGATACAGCATTAAAAGGAATATTAGGCTGAACAATTACTTTTGTTGACTTTATAACACTAGACTTTTTTCTTATACTATTTTCAGAATCTGTACCATTTACCATTTCAACAAATTGACGACACTTTAAAGCAAACATTAAATCGCAATTCTTCTGTAAGAGACCTGGATATAACTCATTAGTCAACTCTATTGCTTTTCCCATATCTCCAGATAAGATTAACTTTAAAATTCCTGTAAAAAGAACATGTATACTTATAATCATATCATAAAAAAATTTGAGATTGAAAGAATGTACCCTTCTTTTGTAGGATAAAACTTTATTGATTGAAAAAAATATTTCGAGATTTAAATTATATAAAATTATATATAAAAACTTTTGTTTATTGAGCATTCAAAACACATGACATTTTCAAACCTTTGTTCATAGCACTTTGTAAATACAGTCTTGGATTAATTGAAAGAAATATTTTATTAATTTCGCAAACTTATAATAAATATTACTTATTTTTTAATTAAAAAACGTTTTTCTCGCGATAATGAACTTCTAAAGAATTTGTTAGATCCTCCCATATAGTCCTTTACTATATATATTTTTCATTAAATCGATTTTAAAACAGTTAAAATCAACACGAAGAATTGAGCGAGCATGGACCGCAGGGACACGCAGAGGTCGTCACTTTGTCAATCGACAGAGGCGTGAAAATCTGACACCAAATTCGGAAAGTTCATTAAATTTTGCGCAGACTATGCTTGCTCGCAAGTTCTCCAGACCCTATTTTCAGCAAAAGTACAACGGTTCAAAAAAGTATCAATAAAGTGTCTGTCCCGGATTTAATGGGTTTAAGTTTTTTCCCAAGTGCTTATTTGGCACATAAAAAATTGACTAATAGGGAGTGCACATGAGATGGTCACCATGTGTTCTGGAAATTTTTTTTTTGATCTACTGGCGTATAATAATCAAGTCCTTTATGATTAATTTAATCCAATAGACTCTCGAATTCATCTCTAAGAATAATATTGATTTTGATTGAAGTTGAATTGAAAAAACATGATTTTCTGGACCGTTTTGACAATACTATTTCCTTGCGATCTAGGTGCATAACATGAGATTACCTACACATTTATAAAGTTCAATTCACACAAAATAGTTTAATTGCGATTGTAAGAGCGATCGTTGGCTCAGTGGTTAGGGTGCTAGCTACAGAAACAAAGAAAGCTCGGGGAGCCTTGAGTTCAAATTCTAGTGAAGACAATCAGATTTTTTCGATTATCATCGGCGGGATGAGAACCCATATACTTCACCTGTCTCGGGGCGGAATTTTTTCTGGAGGATGGAGGAGGAGGACGTAGTGCATATGCACTACACGTATACCCCCAGGTTTTCCTTGCCCCACAGGTCTTCGAGTCTGGGCAAATGCGAGACAGTAGGGAGGAGGGTATAGTAGTAATCTCTTTCTGCGCACGGGCTCTAAGCCTCCTGCAGGCCCTTCTAAAAAGAAGGAGTAATAAGAGAGAAAAAAAATTAATCTAATTATCATTAATTATAATCAAATGGTGACCTTAAATTTCACCTTGAACGCAACCTTAAAGCTACTGCGAATCAAAAATCGATTTTTCAAATAGGTACCACTATTTAAATCCTCATTTTGCAAGAGATGAGGATAAATGCATCATATTGTGTCGGAAGATAGAGTGCACAATACAAACCATTAAATGTTGTTAAGCAGGAGCGTCGGATTTTAATAAAGTCCGACGACTTTTTGAATGGGAGCCTAGAAAGGACCTGAAACCGAAAGGAGTTTCAGAGTTTACACTCTGCAACTGCCAAGACGGCTCGAATCGAACTTTGACAAACGTTCGATGGGTTTTCGAACGGTAGCCCTGAAAAGGCCGGTAACCGAAGAGAGTTTCAGAGTTTATACTCTGTAGCTAACAAGACGGTTAGCATCGAACTTTAATAAAAGTTCGAGATTTTTCGACGTCGTACGAAAGGTGGCCCTGAAAAGGACCGGGCCCGAGTTGGCGTGTACAAGTTCCAACTTGTTAGTGGGGAGCGGCGTGGGTCGGGTGGCCACCGAGATCCGTTGTTGTTCCGGAGTCAACTCTGCAAAGGGAGGTTGGAAATACCGTCGACCTCGGAGACTAGGCTACGGGGACGGATCTGACTTGGCCTTGCTGGTTAGTTGCGGCCTGAAGGTCCAGGCTGCACTCACTGAGCGACCGAAATCGAAAGACTGAGGCTCGAAGTGGCCGATACTTAAGCCCTGGAGGGGATAAGTAGCTTGTGGGTGCTGGTGTTGCGCCACCTAACGGTCGCTAGGGAAGCTTCTCAGTGCAGTGCAAGTGGGAAGGGGGCTTGGAGAGGAGCGAGAAATAATTAGATTGAGTATTTTAATACAACTCAGGTTTATTAACGTTCCCTAGGCCAAGCTCTTGTGGGCGAGCGAGTTCCGACTCCGGCGAGTCCAGGAGTGGAACTGCGTGCCGAATAGAATCGGCGCCGCCTTTTATACCGCTGGCCGGTCGGCGCGCGAGCCGGCGGCGGCTAAGTGGCAGAGTGGGGACGCGCACGCTGGGGTCTCATGTCGTTGTGTGGGTAACAATGTGGAGAATAGACAGACCATACTGCTCAGAATCGTTCACGTTAATGTGCACTTTTTCGATTCTCATTTTGATGACATAAAGTCGATAGTGTTACGACGCAGTTTCATCTGTTCGCAATCAGTGAATCATAGCTTAGGACTCATATGTACTCAAGACTCTACGAAATCACTGGATATACTTTTTAACGGCATGACCGAGTTGCATCAATTGGTCAGGGCCCTCTACCACATGTACTATTCTACAGTAGTAACATGTTTGGACTTGCTGGAGGCTGTCAAGTACAGGCTGTCAAAGCAGGCTTATCGGTCTGAAATCAGCGGCTACGCTGGAAAGCCCAATCTTTGGGACAAGTCTCACGAGAGCCAACTTCTAGGCAGTCAGGAAGACTCCCATCTGCAGAGAGCAGTCAAACATGTGCAGCAAAACTGGCAGGATGACAATCAGAAAATCGTGGAGGCAGCTTACTGGGATTCTGTCGGCCCCACGGGCGTCCGTTCAGGATGATAAGTTCGATCTCGGATTTCTTCGAGTTAGTGACTTGTCCAGTTTGTTAATGATGAAAGCGGGGTCGGCAACCGGTTCACTCTCGAAATCAAAGCGAGCTGAAATATAGGCTGATTTATTTCTCTCCAGTGAGAGAATTGAAATGTGCAGAATGAGTCCCCTTCTTAAGCTCGGACAACGACACATCACTTGTGGAGAGCGACTATTACGGTCAGGGCCACCTGGCGGCAGAAGCGGGAAGCGGAAAAGATGAGAGGGGTAAAGTAAGAAGAAGATTGTTTTGTGGAGAAACGAAGTTAACTTTATCAAAGTGAACTGTCCCTATCCAGTCAACAACCTTGAACAACTCGAGGAGCTATAAAATCTCTGGAAGTCCGAGAGATTTGTGTGATCTCCGGTGATCCGGAAGAAAACACGTCGCTTGGGTCTTGGTGACTCTGGTATACCGAGAGTGCCGCACGTCTCCGGAGATCCGGGATATGTGCTCAGCGCAAGCTCACGAGCGAATGCGCGCAGCGGCCCAACGCGCCGGCTTATATAGCGCCGCGGAGACCGCGCGCGACAACGGCGATGGTGGGGGCCGCCGCTGCAAGGCAGCTGAGAAGTGGCACCAAATCGCAGCGACGTGATCTGTAGTGCGCATCTATTGCGCGACTAGCGTATATCAGGGATAACCTCTTTCGAGTTTGCGTTTGTGACCATTGTTCTGAAAAAGTGTACGCGACCCTAATGCTGCAGCTTCAAGGGTTCACTCTGAATGCTACAAGTTAAGTGAATTTTACAAAAACCCAAAACGTCAGAAAACGCAAAAGAAGAATAAAATTCAACACGTAAAGTATACAAAAAAGGCTCACGGAAATAGCTGTATCTCAGTGAGTGATTAAAGTTTTGGAGTTTTGAAAAATACAATGAAAAGGGAACAAAAAATCCTATTCGAAAATGAAATAAATTTTTGTTTTCGATGTTAGGCCCCCTATGTGCCCTTAGGGAGGCTCTACACCAATCATAACAATAGTACAGCGAGGCATCTGTCTGTCTCTTTCTCGAGGCATCTGTCTGTCTCTTTCTCGCATTAGGCAGACAACCGCTCGTACTATTGGAAATCAATGATTTTGTTTAATTACTCATTAGTTAGTTCGTTAAGGGGTAATTTTTGAATATATTCCAGACTTGTTCAGAACTTTGAGAACTTATAAACTCATGACACTAAGGATGCTGGAGCGATTCTTTCCTTTTAATTGAACGTTCTATATACGTGCGTAACGCACTTTCGGGTGCTGTGGCACGCAGTTTACTGAACAGCTGATCTCGCATTCAGACGGCAACACGCGAAAGTTTAAGACACGAAAGTCAATGTTATTGAAGTGTTTTTCAATTAAATAAGTATTGATAAAATATAAGTGAATTAGAAACCATATTTAAAAGAAAAAATTGATTTTTTATATAAACTGCACTGTAAGTACAATTCAAATTTCAAATCGCGCACCGCTTAGCTTACTTTCAATCGCGGTGAGCGCATCGGTCGAAAATTCTTTAACTCGCGATATTTTTTTAAAATGCTCATTTTCCTATGTATAATATTATATCATTGAAGAGCTTATCAAATATTCTTTTAAATGATATTACTTAAAAAGTGGCCTTAAAATTTTAACGCTTACAGGATTCAAAAGATTACAACTCTCCATAAGATCCCATGTTAAATCGCCAATCTCTTTAACCAAGTATCCAAATATCTTTTGATCGTTTACCCCGATTTTTCTTTTTGCTAATCAATTTGTCTTTTCTTGTTTAAAATCATTTCGTTTACAAGTGTGAATTTTTCAGATTCTTAAAAACGCTAAATTTTTTAAAATGACCAGATTTGAAAATTCTAAAATGTTAAAAAAATTCTGAAAATTCTATTGTATGAAGGATTTTGTGTGTGCTTCATTGCATATTATCTTATTTTTATTTTCAAGATGGTAGTTATCGAGTAAACAATTAATGATTTATCACAGCATTGCCTATTTTAAATCCAAATTTTTTTGAAACATTATGGCTCGATAAAAATAGCAGCGACAATTCCCCAGAAAGTTAATAGTGCAATTGCTCGATGTTCAAAACTAAAGCAATGATCATTTTCGATGAAGATTTTTAAAATGTACAAAAGAAAAAATCTTACTTTGTCTATTTTTGATTGCACTAAAATCTTCATTAAATACTTGACCAGAAGTATTAGCAAAAACTCGGGCAGTTTCACAATAACCATGATGTACTAGATAAGCTGATACCATTCTGGAAAAAATTAATAATATATTAAATTACATAATTTTTAAATTTGTACATTACATAAATAATACTGAATAAATATTGAATAAATACTTTTAAACACAATGAAAATGTTTGATATAGACGAAGATAATAACAAAAGTGGGAAAAAATTTAAACTGAAAAAGTATATTCATGGCTTAAGGGCTTATATACACCTTAAATTAAAAATTTTTTTATTCAATTTTTGAATAGGATTTTTTCTCCCCTTACGACAGGTGACCAAAAACACTACTCGCCAGAAAACGCAAAAGAAGAAAAAATTTGACACGTACAGTATAGGAAAAAGGCTCACGGAAACAGCTGTATCTCAGTGCAAAATCAAATTTTGGAATTTCGAAAAATGCAATGGAAAGGGGAGAAAAAATTCTATTCAAAAATTGAAAAAAAAAAAATTGAATTTAAGGTGTATATAAGCCCTTAAGAACAATCAAAATCAAAAAACTGTTATTCAATTTTCAGAACTAATAGTTAATGACTTTAGTCCTTCGTAAACAGAGTGAGAAGGAGAGGGGAAAGATCAGGCTTCGGATCGAACCCAGCTTACAGTTCGACGAACATCTCAGAATAGTAAGCGATAAAGTTAAAAAATTTGTTGCCACCCTGTTAGGCTTGGTCCCGAATATTAGAGACAAGAGGAATAGTCGACGCAAACTTTAAGTCTATTTTCCTTCGTGTGGGGAGCAATACTGAAAAGGAGCAGAGTCATATCCGCCATGTAGCGTCGATCTATCAACACACCTGTCTGCGCGTTATTTGTGGCTTTCGTAGTATCTACCACGAAGAGCGTCAATATCGTTATTTCACCACCAGCGCTGCTCGTTGACAAGTGCCAGAGGTTTTATTGCCTCCACCATAAAGAAGCCAGACTGTTGGACTCACCAGTTCAACCAGAACATCACCCTCGAAGTCGTGAGGGGAACAAGGAACAAAACCTACAATCTTGCTTAACTTCTGACTGATCGCGTTTGTTTTAACCCTCTAACGTCCAGAATACGTGAGAATTTTTACGGACTGCCGTGATAATTTTTAAATCACGAGCAGAATCCTGAGCTACGACAAGCCTAGGTCGAGCCAAGGAAGTGTGGATATGTGCTAAAAGCAAATCGCAGCAAAAATTGCAGTTTTTAAGGACAAAGTGATAGTTTGAAAGTGTCACGACGCAGTACGAATCGATAAATTGCCGAGGCCGAGAGTAATAGGCTAGGTTTTGTCAAGCAGCACACGTGTGCAGTATTGTGTGTAAGAGCCGCCTAGGCCAAAGTTACAGGTTATTTTCTGTCAAGAGCAGTGTGCTGACGAAAGCTAGAATAACGGACAAGCTCGAGAGAGACCAAGGAACTCCGAGCGAAGTAGCTTCAGCCAAGCACGTCAACCCCAAGAAGAGCTGGCGAAGAGGTTAGAGGTTAGGTTTTTATCGTAGGTGGTCGATCGTTTGGCCGTTGTCGTAATATTGCGTTATCGTGCTCGCACGTGTGTTGTGTGTGTGTGTTTTTTTTTCCTACTCCACCCCATTCGGAAACTCACCGGTAACCGCCGCTAGGCATTGCTTCGGTGAGGCCGGGGTTAGTTGAGCAATTCTGCTACTTCTATGTTAGTCGTTGTTTCCATACATCCCCCATCCGTCGCATAGTGATATGCGACGATTAGGGGTTCAGGGACTCATCCTTCTCTACTTTTTCAGAGCCGTCTGCTGCGTGGTCACATAGTGCTGGCGTCTCCTCCTGAGTTAAGTATTAGAACTCGCTGCTCAGTGCCATCTTGTGGGTGTGGTTCTCGCTTCTGACATCATCATGAGAGTGTTGTGCTCCATCTATTGCCAGCCTTGTGAGTCCTCGCCCAGACCTCCTACTTATGGTTATCCTCTTCGTTTCCAGCTCGCACAGTGATCGGGGGTTTTTTACCGCTTCGGAGGCTGGGGACATAGCCGGGGTCTTCTTTTTAGTGGTACCCGCTCCACCTCGGGCACTGGCTCGACCACACCCGGCGAAAAAACGAACCTCGAAAATTCGCCAAGTGGGGATCGATCCCACGCCCTACAGCACACCTTGTATCGGCAGGCAAGAACTATACCCACTGAGCCAAGGAGGCCGATGTGTGTGTATGTGTGTGTGTGTGTGTTTTTTTTTTTTTTTTTTTTTTTTTTTTTTTTTTTTTTTTTTTTTTTTNGGGTTGGTTGAGCATTTCTGCTACTCCTGTTAGTCGTTGTTTTCCATACATCCCCCATCCGTCGCATAGTGATATGCTACGATTAGGGGTTCAGGGACTCATCTTTTATCTTCTTGGTGAACCTCCGATCCCGTACGTTCAATAATGTGACTATTTTTGGAAACTTGATCTCGCGCGCGATTACATTTGATTGTCGTGTAGTAAATTGTCTAGTTTTGCCAAATTGCAGAGAATAGGTGAGTGGACGTAAAAGAGATCGCGACATAAAAATTCTTGTCGGCGGCATTTGAGCTGGGCCTGACCCAACATTTGCCCGTCGCAATTATTAAACTTACTGTTTCTTCTTTTTCACCTATTTTCGACACTCATTTGAAGTGCTTTCCATATATTTTGAGTGTCAGATTACATTATCAATGATGCTGCATCAAAGATTTTTTCTATCTTTTGCATCAATATTTATTGTTAAGTTCGTCAAGTTTAGCTAAAATTGGTTCGCACTTTAAGACTTGCGCAGTATACCAATTGGGTTAGAGTGTTTTTTTTTTGAACAAGTATACAATACTTGAAAAGGTTAAAGTACCAATACTTTTCAGTCATTTGGAATTGACTGTTTCAGCCTGATACCATGATACACTATTATATGGTATTTATTAACATTAAATAATATTAAAAACTTCATCATGCTTAAAAATGTTGTCAAAGAGCCCGTTGGATCAAACGAACTATAGGGAGCTTGATCATTAAGTACCAAGAGACCACAAAAAAATTTTCAATGAATTTTTAATGAAACAATCATTCTGGAATATTGTAATTGCATTCTGGAGATTTATACAATTATCCCTGTGGATTTACTTTCCCAGAATTGTCTTTTAAGTATTACATCGCGTTTTCTTCTCTTCGTTTATTAAGTTAAGTTTAAATTTAATCAACTACGCTATGGCTTTTGAAAGGCAGGCATGGAAATAAATAATACATTGAGTTGTGACAATGAATTTTATTTCACATAAGTTTTAATACCTTTCTAACTATGAGCTGATATCTCGGGTGATGTCACATCCAAGCGATACCGAAGAGAAGCAGAAGAGTAGTTCAGCACAGCAGAAGCCAGTTTCCCAGGGTCGATTTCATTGTATGGGACGTCACTCTCTAGGCCAATGTTTGGCCATGTAGAATTTAAATGCGTTATCTACTAGTTCCGATGTCGCGGAGATACTGACTCTCGCTAGAACGGTCAGAGACTAAGTCCTCGAATCGTTACAGAAATGCTAACCTTCCAGAGCTTCGCCCTCTGGAAGAAGAAAGACTACGTTTCCACAGCTTCATCTCGCTCCGTATTTATATGTTTATTCAATATATAAGCATACAGGACAAGGCGTCTTATTTCGTAGCATGAGGCTGTGCTTTGACATTGCATTCTGGTGGATCCTATGCTTGTAGTGTTATAAAGTCACTGCATTGTAGCTCCACGAATTCTAATGATAATATTCACTTTCGTTATACTTGTATAGTACATATGCTGTTTATTTCTCATGTGCTGCACATATGCTGCTCATTGCTTCTATTGCATATGCTGTGTATTAGACCGGTTGTTATTTTCCAAGTTGTTCCGATCTTCGCTCCAGGCGTTGATTTTGGGCTCTTGGGTGTAAAAAATTAGAAAAACGCGTATATGAGTCCAAAAAGTAATAATTAATACATGCCGCAACTCGAAAAATTCTGAAAAAAATTGTTACATGTTCTTTGACTAATTTTAAGACGTTGTTGTTCATTACAATTTTTCATGTAAATGCTTCTATTTTGATATTGAAGAACATGAAATAAATATATTTAAAATTTTTTGAGAACTTTTTTGAAAATCGATTTCGGTTTTTTGAGTTGTAGCACGTATGAGCTATTACTTTTTGGACTCATATACGTATTTTTCTCAGTTTTTACACCATAGGAATCAGTATTAAGGTCTAGAGCGAAGATTAGAACAACTTGGGAAATAACAACCGGTCTACTGTGTATATGCTGCTCATCGATTGTGGGCCGCGTATTCGCTGGGTATATGCTGCCTATGCTTACCTACGTCGGCATAGGCCGGATATATGCTATCTGTGGCTTACGTGCTGCGTATATGCTGTGTGTACTTTGGCAGCGCAAGACTGGGTATACCCTTTTCTGCTGGAGCTTACCATCTTGATGGCGTTGTATCAAATGTGACATAACATAAGCTTAATTAAATTAAGTGTCTTAGAATAGCTTGGTTCTAGAGATTATGAAAATTATCACCAACTAAACGGTTATTAGGGGTTCAGGGGCAGTTTTCATCCTTCGATAATTGTCCTCTAAGTTACCCATCACCTGGTTACCCATTACCACATGGTAACCAGGGTCCCAAGAAAAGGGCGAAGATCAACCTCAGAGCCCATGTTACTCGAAGAACTAAGCTTTAAAATAAAGAAAAGCCCGCGCTAAAATAGCGTGCGCCTGTCAAGCACACATCAAGCAATATGCTAATCTATTCAAGATTCATCGAGATTTACAATAATTAACATCCACCGAAATCATAAATACCGAAAATTATAATACACAGAGATGACAATTTAGACAAAATAAAAAGCGAATGCAAATATTAGTTCGATGATGATAATTGATTGCCTTTAAGAAAAAAAAACTTAAATTAGTTCATTTTATAAAGAAACATTTTTTATGCACTCGTGATTTCTAAATAAATTAATTGCTCAGAAAATGCTCGTAAGAACATTTAATTTTATAATTTTTATTAAAGGTCATCATTTTTCTTTCTGTGTCCG